GAGTCAACTAATAATTATTTTATTATTTAATTAATATATATTTTAAGGAGTGGACTCATTTTAAGGAGTGTACTCATTTTAAGGAGTGTACTCATTGGATCCTCCCCCTACATATATATATACTAGATTGGACTCGGCTGTACACGCACAGCCGGCCCTAGTTCAATCTATAATTATATCTAGTATTTGTAAAAATTTTAAAACACACTTACTCACATTTTATAGAGCAACCAAAATGCCACTATTTATTTTCAATTAAATTTTCCACACATATTTTTTACAATAAAATATTTAAATTTATTAAATTAGTATTTTTATCCCATCAACTTTAATTATTATATTTTATTTTTTGTTTGTTCAAAATGTTTTTCACAAAAGGTTTTTTTTCAACAATTTTTTTACCACTCTTTTGACTCATTTGGTTTGTAGTATTACCGGCTGTGCACGCACAGCCGACCTATTTCCAGTCGTAAAATTTAGTGTTTTATGGGTAAAAAATTTGTCTAGCATTTAAATTATCATTTTCATTGTCTTAAAATTGTTGAAATGAAGCTGGGTAATTTTAGTTCATAATTATAAATTATTTGTTACTTTTTTGTTTGAAAAAAATATAGCTTAAAATGTGTCAAACCTTATACATATATTTGGCCGACTCGAAGAGTATAAATATATATGTTTGGTAACATTTCCAAAAAATAAGTTGAAATTGTTTGATATGAATCCATCATAAAGGTAAGAGTTTTATAACATAATAACACATCTAATAATCACAAAAAAACGTAAAAGGATAGTGTTTCTTTCACAAATTAAATCCTAGAAGTTGTAAAAGCGAGAGATTACCCTTCACCTAATAAACTACCCAACATAAACTTTGACTTCATTTGAACCTTGAAAGCATTTACTTCATGGTATGAGTTTAAACGTGCAAGTCCAAAACTACTTCTATTACAACTAAATGTGGTACTTTTTTTGCAAATTTTCCCTTTAAAACTAAACTTCACCAAAAATTGTAAGAAAAAAAAAGAGTGAATAAAAAAAGAGAATGAAAAGTGAACAACCGACAACTATGGAATAGCAGTGCTACTACCGTGTGCATTGGCACACCTAGCAAGGTGTGCCAAGACAGTTTAAAATGAACATGTTACTTTATAAAATGAACATGTGTAAAAAAGTTTACACGTGTTCATTTTATAAAGTAACATGTTCATTTTAAAGAAGATTTGGCACACCTTGCTAGTGTGCTAAGGTGCAAGTAAGTATTTGCGATGGAATAGAACAAATAGATTTATCATTGTTCCCACATTCCAATCATTTTCCACATACAAAGATGATAGTCAGCATATTGAAATCTGTGCACGCACATGCGGGCCGAGTCTAGTCTCTATTTGGTTTTCTAATTATTAATTTTTAGACAAGAGCACAGAATTTAAAAATAACTAGTTTATTCAAGTTAAGATTAAAACCAAGTTTCCAACTTACACCGCTGAAGCATTATATTTATATTTACACAAAGCAACCTACAACAATGTATAGTGGCTCACCTCATTAACCTATCATTTCACAGTCAGAGCTTATTTGGCCAACACAACACTATTGCACAAGTAAAAGCCTTTCTCCTTTTTAGTTGTGAAGTAATATAGACTTGTAATGCAATTTTGTTCATTAAAAATCCAATAATCATTATCCATCCCTAATTTACAACTTTACTGACAAAACTGATACACTCTTTTCTTTTTCAAATTTCAATTGCATGGAACTTGTGATTATTACCCCTCCAAAAAAAAAAAAGAAAATCAAAAAGAGAAGAGAATTAAAGATGAAGAATTACTGTTTTTATGACCAATGAGCTTGAGCTCATCTTCAGCTTTCTCAATCAAATAATCGACATCTCGACATCCCAACCTTTTTGTGATCACGTGAAGCTCTCAACAGCCATGCGGTAGCCTTCTTCCTTAAGCACCGCCTTGAGCTGTTCTAGGGTTTTGTTGTACAGTCTGACCAAAAGTTTACGCGCGTTAGGTACAACGTCAAGGCCTACGATCCCTGTTGTCTCCTTCACTTTGGACGTCACCATAAACGGTCGCGCAGTTGCCGGATATACATTTTTACAAGTGGTAGCGTTTCTTATAATCCTATTCAGATTTCGGAACCAGGTGTTGTAATTCGCCCTCGAAGAACAAATGAGAGTTGGGAACCTAGGATTCAGTATGTGAAAAGAAGTCATATGCCTTATATAGCCGACACGTGGTGATTTTTCATTACTCTTCGTTTCGGCTGACCTAATAACAACGGGACCTTCTCAAGAGAGTCCTTTTACTGCTGCATATTAAAAACTCAAATCAATCTTTCACTTTTATCATAGTGACTTATAATTAAGATACTAATTATTGTAAGTTGTTCAATCAATCCCTATAACTATGGGATAATTGCATGTACATCTTTGCTTTTATAAGAAGGTATTTGGTGAGCGTATTCTAAAGCAAATCAAAATTTCTTGTCTCTGTTAATGACTGATGTCTTTCTTCAAAGTCTACCACCAAAGCTAGAGCTTCTTTCCGTAAGCCTTGAAAACATTTGAAAAGTTCTAATACGTCTAGCATAACGGATAAAATTAAATCTGAATATGGAGGATGATATAGGGAGGCCCAGAATTAGAATATTCTTCTTCACCCTAAAACCTACAAACATGAAGAGAATATGCTATACTTCACACAAAAAACAAAAAAAAAAACAAAAAAAAACCTTGTAATTTTCAGCTATTAAAATAATATCACTGAAATAGATAGTATTGTGAAACAATCTACCAAATAATCAAGAAATAAGGGAAAGAGATTCTAAAATCCACCTCTGGTAGGATTTAGCAGAGATCGGTCTAAAATGAGAAGTTAAATAGGGTTTAGAATATTCAAAGGAGTTAAATTAAACCACAAATAAAGCACCTGGTAAAGCTATATTTTGTAAAAAGAGGATAAGAGAAGAAATACAAAAACATACGCGGGTATATGTAAGAAAACATGTACTTGTGTACAATGAAAATATAACATTTGTAAGACAATAATGAGTAATACTTTCAATGACAACTATTCTTTGGTGCCAAAAAAATCATCGTTATTGACATAATGAAGCATATCTGTACAATAATAAAATAACATTTGCAATTGAAAACCACAGTCAATCTCATGATGCTAAAAGCACAACATCGAACTGTGTATCAATACCACTTGTTGTAGAAACTTATCAGACTGCTTCCTTCTCTTCTTAGTAGAAAAAGTAATCTTTCTTATTTTATTTTATACACATTTAAGGTATCTAACCCATCTGTAAATTGACCATAATATGTCCCAAGTTAGTAAGAATAATCCATACAAAAACCCTTAGATGAATTTCCAGAAAGTGGAAGAACAATACCTAAACCTTTTACACCTTTATAACACCGAGAAGAATAGGTGTTGGTAAAACTATGAGCAATATTTTGCATTATACACTCCAGACGGCAACCCGAAACACTATCACAAAGTCAAAGAAGGACAATTAGTATTAAACATTAAGAGAATAGGTAAAATGTATGCTGGAAGTAAGCGAAGTTATAATAATTCTCTATATGGAGATTAACTGTATAACGGAAGTATCTTGCGTACCACATGTTGTATCAACCATCCTTTACTTATTGGAGCAATGATAACAATTTTATCGGACTTTGATCAACTAACAAGTGAATATCCAGAGTCTCACTTAACTTATAACCTTGAATTTTTTTTAAGATCTCTGAACATCTTCCAACTTAACCCTTACAGTAACTTATGTAATCACCACTTATCTAGAAAGTATTCTAACCCCAATATTCAACCGTAAATTGTATTTACTAAATATCATCCCTTTTTAACCTACGCGTAATACAAATTGCTGAGATACTTCTTGTCTCATTTATTCCTCAAAATGGATATCACTTGGGAACCTTTTCATTCCACCTTATTCTTTGCTACTTCTGAGTGTCGCTATTTCTTATGGTCATAATGAAAATGAACATAAGGCAGAAGTGCAAAATACTGCTCATAATTCACCCAGCAATGTCCCAGACCTCAAATTCACTTTCGGGTGAAACAAAACTTCTAATTCAAAAAAAGCTTACATCCATTCACACCCCCTTAAAGTTTCCCAGACATTGCAATTCACAAGTTCAAGTCTTCCCAAATAAACCTCCATATTTCGAAATAAAAACAATTTAATTCAGAAAAGCAGAACAATAATCGCACAATGTAAGCAACCATCCGTCGTTAACACACATGTCACAGAAACTTGCACAGTCAACCAAGTAAAAGAGGTTGGTAAAAACAAAGTAGCAAGAAACACACACCAGAACATATTTTTTAAGTAAACGACAAATATCATATGGCTAGTTCTCAACCTCCAAATGACTCCTTTCGCTTGTCTCAACGCATCACTGTTTGTAAGAAGGAGAAGCACGCAGACAGTCACCAAATCTACTCCAAATGTCAATGTCGTCCAAATTCATGTCTCTTCTCAAACGCTAAAAATTATTCTACCAATAAGTCCATATTATTTTACTCACTAAATAGTAACATCTAGATGGCTAGACATGCATCGCACATATTATTACAGAAACTCAATTTTAAAGAAATACCTGTTGTGGCTGCTGATAATTTGCATATCCTGGATAGTCTCTGTAACACATGTTATGGTAACAAAGTTTAAACTTTAACTGAGTGTGCCTTGCATACTAAATTGGTTAATCCTGAGCCCCTTAGCTTTGGCCTCATTATAGGGCAAGAAAGGTGCTCGTGCGGTTACGAAGAAGAGCGGCTATAGCAAGTCCACCATGGCCATGAGCATAGTTATCTCCAAGAGAGGCCAAAGTTGTGGCATCTGCAACCAGATCGGCTGTGTTGAGGACCTCCTGTGATGCATTCCTGGCAGCTCCATTGTAGTCACCACCACTAACTTATGTGCGCCGAACTACGGACTCGATGGCGCCGCCAGTGGACGCTACAACCAACCATACGCGTACTCAGTCCTCCTGATTGAGGGGTGAGAGAAGATCGCGACTTGGAATGTCTTGAACATGCTGATAGTAGATACTCATCACCTGACCAAGTGCTAAATACAGCCTAAGTCAAAATGTCAAGCCTCAACAATAATATATCATAATCTTATAGAGATATTACCAACTATGGAAGAACACAAACAAAATAGATAAAAATATAATTCATGAACAAATGTAGTTCTACGAAAAATATCAAGTAATATAATGCAGATTGTTCAACATATAAAACATGTTTATTTATAAGAATTTTTTCTAATATATTAGGTTGTGGTGAACAAATTCACAAAAATATTTTTATTCACTAAAAAAAATGTAGAGCAATAAAAACATAGACCGAAAAAGGTTTTTTTTTTTTTTTTTTTTTTTTTTT